GTGAGATAGTCTTGAAATAATGTCAGAAGGTCAGGAGGGGAGGGCAAAGTGGTGGCTCCCCTGATAACTCCCATTATGTAGATGGGAAAACTGAGGGTGAGGACTGTACCACAGCGCCCCCTGCTGGAGAGCCAAAGAACAGCATGGAGAAGCCACAGCTTGCACCTGTTAGGGAGGGAGAGCCCTGGCACAGGCTTTGGTGGCCACCGGAGGGGACCCAGAATCCCAGGCAGGCTTTGGCCCAGCAGTCATGGGTGTGGGGTGTTTGCTTTCTTCCCTCGAGGCTGCAGAACAAAAGCTGAACTTGACTCTGGATGTGCGAGGAAACTGGAGAAGGCTGGGGTTTGGGGGGGGGGGCTGATGTCCGTGAGCCAGGGAGACAGAGGACCAGGCTCCCACCTGCTGCTCTGAAGCCCAGTGCCTCCTTCCCTGTCCCCTACCCCCTACTCATTCCCACCTTGACACTGACTCCCCTTCAATATCCCACACCCACACCCCAAGCTCTGGTCGCTTTGTCACATGCAGACGTGAAGAAGCAGATTGAAAGATCTGATTTCAATATAATTCAGTTTTAAAAACATTCTTTTCTTAATTTCTTTTTCTTTTTTAATTTTGTGAATGAGTATATTGCCTGCATATGTGTAAGTGCACCTGTGTCATGCAATGCCCTCGGAAGTCAGCAGAGAGCGTCAGATCCCTGGAACTGGAGTTATAGATGGTTGTTAGCTGCCATGTGGGGGCTGGGGAACCAAATCTGGATCCTCTGTAAGAACAACCAATGCTCTTAACCACTGAACCATCACCCCAATCCCAAAATAGTCTTTTCTTACTTTAAAAAAAAAATATTTTATTTATTATTTTTATTTTATGCCTGCATGTATGTGAGTTGAATGAAGGTAGGTTCACCTGTATCATGCAATGCCTGCGGAGGTCAGAAGAGGGTTTCAAATCTTCTGGAACTGGAGTTACAAACAGATGTTAGCTGTCATGTGGTTTCTGGAAATTGAACCTTGGTCCTCTGCAAGAGTAACCAGAGCTGAAAGAGCAGTCAGTGCTCTTAACCGCTGAGCCATCTCTCCAGCCCCAAAACATTCTTTTCTTACATTTATTTATTTTAGCGTGTTTATGTGTGGGAAGTCAGAGGAAAACTTGTAGGAGAAGGTTTCCTCTACCATGTGAGACCCTAATATTGAATTAGGGTTGTCAGGCTTGGTGGCAAGCACATTTACCTGCTGAGCCATCTCACTGGCCCCCAAAATATTTTTAAAGTTGGGGCTGGAGAGATGGCTCAGCAGTTAAGAGCACTGACTGCTCTTGCAGAGGACCCGAGTTCGATTCCCAGCATCCACATGGCGGCTATGAACCGTCATTAACTCCAGTTCTAGGGGAATCCGACGCCCTCTTCTGATCTCCGCGGCATTGCACGACATGGGCGCACTTACATGTAGGCAATACACTCATACACATAAAATAAAAATAATTAAAAAAAA